TCATGGGCTGCTGCGATGCTGTGCTGTGGACAGCACAGGGCAGTACAGCAACATCCATCGTTACACTGCGCATCGTTATAATTCTAACATCTATGCCTCCCGCTCTCAGCAGCCTGCACTGACCAATGTGGTAGAGTATAGGGTAATAACGCCCATGACCCCCCACTCAGCAGTGTATTGACAAAGGGTATGTACATGTACATATCGCCATGGTGTTTGGTCTTACAATGAAATAACAATTGATGTTGACCCTAAGGGAGCTTGCATCGGATGATTATTGTGAGACAGCGGTGATTGGAATGGGCCAAATATTAGACGTTCGCTGGATGCATTTCTTATAGATTTAATGGAAAGCTTATAAGATCGTTAGGCTTATCTTTCATAGCACAGTCTTTACAACTCCTTGCTTAGCCGTGTGAAAATGTTTTGCCTTTCAAGCAATATCAGTGCATCGTTGCATAACGATTGATGACTCTCAAATTTCGTTCCGCGTCGGGGAGAGCGGCGACGGCATATTGGTTAGCGAACCGCACCGAACCTGGTGTACCTGAGTTGTGATTCCCAGCCACGGATAGTGTGAGATGGGTGAGTAACATCTGAACAAGTCCTGGGCCAGCCCCCCCCACCCCATTTACAAACCTGCACCTATTGGAGTGAATTGCAGCATTTATAGAGGCCGAATGTAATGGCATTCTACATTTTAAAAGTAGGTTAATTGTTTAAGCAGTATTCTAATGCACTATTGGAGGTGACCGGGTGGCTTGGCAAAGGTGGGGGGGGGGGCGGGGGGCGTGTGGATAATCCCATGTGACAGCAGTGACCTGGTACCACCCGCCCCACACTTGGACATCTGTGGAAAAAAAGAGCTTCATAACTCATCGCATTCCTCCGGTCTAAATAAAGATTCTGATTCTAATATTCTGGATTTTTAGTCCAGGCAGCCATCCGTTATTAAACTGTGGGGATCTCTCCCAAGTGTAGCGCCTTGATGATCTCAGCCCCAGCCACCTAATCGTTTTAAAAACATCTAATTCAGCATCTTCCGTTTGTGGAAATTAAACCTTTTAACAAAAAAAATGTGTTGAATTGACATGTGATTAACATGCCTTGCAGGGAATTAAAAAACAAAGTGTGTGAAATCACCATCTTTAGACCTCCTTTGCCAGTACCAAAATGTAATAATAGGGTTTTTCCCTTTTTTTCTGGCAACAAAACTGAAACCTTTTTACAAGGATTCATGTCTGCATTAACCACAATACCTGCAGTCAAAATGCAAACAAAAAACATACTATGATAATATATGCATTGTCCTTGAAACTGATTGGTCCACACCAAGGGACGGCTTTCTTTTGAGCCTCGACCCAATTGGTGCTCGACCAGATGACGTCAGAAGGCGTACAGCTCAAAGACAATGCACTATCAAAGTAATGAGGGCTCGGGGTGAGCATCTACATCATTAGACCTCCTCATAGTATGTTTTTGTTTGCATGTTGACTGCAGGTATTGTGGTTAATGCAGACATGAATCCTTGTAAAAAGGTTTCAGTTTTGTTGCCAGAAAAAAGGGGAAAACCCCAATTATTACATTTTGGTACTGGCAAAGGAGGTCTAATGATGTAGATGCTCACCCCGAGCCCTCATTACTTTGACAGTGCATTGTCTTTGAGCTGTATGCCTTTTGGCGTCATCTGGTCGAGCAGCAATTAGGTCGAGGCTCAAAAGAAAGCCGTCCCTTGGTGTGGACCAATCAGTTTCAAGGACAATGCATATATTATCATAGTATGTCTTTTGTTTGTATTTTGACTGCAGGTATTGTGGTTAATGCATACATGAATCCTTATAAAAAGGCTTCAGTTTTGTTGCCAGAAAAAAGGGGAAACCCCCTATTATTACATTGTGTGAAATCAAGGCTAGAATTCTATGCTGGTAGAACACTTGATGTGCATATTTTTAAAGAGCATGTCTTGAAAGCAGACTCAAACAAGGTATATATTCCTTTGTCGGTGAATCACACCGAGGTGTAAAAGGGAATTCCACTATAGCCAAGAGCTGGAAATAACATATTCCGCTGTGAAGTGGCAGATCTGAAAAATGTAAAAAAAAGGTAAAGCGGGAAAGACAACATTTTTATGTCTTTTTTTTGCCTCTGCGCCAATTTTATTCCAATTTGCGCAACCAGCATCAGCTCTTGAGATGAAGACACTTCCACTCAGGACTCTGTAGCTTGCAGTGCATCACCCCGTGTCAATGTACGACCCTGGACGATTACATCACAGAACTACTTCTGAGATCTACAGCTGATAACCCAGTTTAATCACAGGTGGCTGCCTGGCTTTGAACACCAGAATATCAGTGGTGCTGGGCTCCACGCTCTGACCTCTGAGCCGCCCAGCTACTATAGTGGCTATATATACACACATGTCACTATAACTACACACCTTCTGAGCAATAACCACATTGCAGTACCACGCGATATTCTCAACACGCAACATGTAAGCATATCCCCGAATTAGGGAACCATAATACCCTCCTTCTGATCAGTAATGGGAGTGAAATTTTACCTTAAGGAGAATCCATGCATTAGCCCGATGTTCGGTCAATACTATGGGCCCTTAATGAGAAAGGAATCACCTGAAAGTGCTGCTCATTCGCCGGCCGAACAATCAATAAATATTGGCCACTGGGAGAGACCATGCTGGAAAATCCAACCCAAATCCTCTGCTCCCACTGGGAATTTCATCATCTTACTCTCCAGGGGAAGAGCAGGAAATGCCCTCAGCTTTCACATCCAGTGTCTTGTTTTGTCAAGGCCGTGCAGTGGACATTTACTGCTTAAGGTTGGAAAGAGTCGCCCTGAAATTCACAGTGCCAGTGTTGTATAATGTTCACAGATAGATCACCCATATGTATAAGCAGGTAAGACCCCGTTGAGAAGTCGACGGGCCTGAGCAGGACACGTCCCTTGAGGGGACGATGATCTGTGCTGGCCGAGGTTAACAACGGAGTGGGAGCCAAAGGAGGGAACCGATCAGAGTGGACTTAAACGGCGGAGATGGAGCGATGAAATCGGCTTGTGGTGTGCAGCTGCTCGGAGGACTGTTACATCGCAGGATCGTGAGAGGTGGCAGCGACCTTGGGGAAGGGCTTCATCTAGCAGTGGATATGCCTTGGCTGATGATCATCATGATGATGAGGCTTTACACCTGAATGCGAAGACTATCTTTGAAAGTACTTGCATTCATCATTTACCAGTAGTGAATCCAGCAGCACGTTAACAAACCAACCATTACGATAATGCTTAAATTATACATTGAGAACAAGGTACAATATCGCCAAGGCAGGGAGAGGAATTATGCGGACAAAGCTATAGTACAGCTTAGCGCAGCCTCTCGATCTTTCACTTTCTACCCTGGCATTCACATAAAGCCTGGATAATGTCACCAAACAACTGAGCAACGCTCTCATTCCAGCCTTTAGCAGGCAGAGTATTTTTAACAACAGAGCAGAGTTAATGTTGTGAAGTCCCAAGGGTCTTCAGGGTGCTTAGATCTCTTTGGCTCGTGGTCATTCTTGATCTTTTATAAATTTGATGGCAACTATAAACATGTAAAATATATAAACAAGAAAGGCGCTACATTGCTTTATTTTTGGCAGGGAGTATATGTATTTGTTATTTTTGTCTGCTTTTGTTCAATGACTGCGTCGCGCTGGTGCCAGTTACGATGCAACAAATATAATCCGATCAAATATTGTAATTCTCGGATAACTGACACTTAATTCAACATTAAGTTTCTCAGCTTCTGTGCAAAAAAATATCTGCTCTCACTCTTTCGAGCAAACTTAAAATATGTTGTTGTGTCCTATGAATAGCCCGCCCCTGCCAGAGTAACAAGGAATTTCCACCACTGGCTCAGTGCTGTAAGCAGCAGATGAGTGCCAGCCTCAGCACTCATTTGAGTCGAAAATCACGGATTTTTTTTTATATATACCGCCAGTCTTTTGTTAACATTCAGAGACGTAACGAGTTTATCCTGCAGGCACTGCATTGCGTGAGAGAGAGACATTAACTTAAATGGCTAATGCAACCTTCAGTTATCCCATTGGCGTTGTTTTAATCCCACACACTCACCCTACGCAGCCTGTGAGGCCGAAAAGGTGCGAATATTTCAAACTGCTTCAGTTGCCAATTTACACACAGAGCCCTTCAGGATCATCACAACACATGCATCTCACGCATGCTGTGGCCTGTCCAGCCGACATGAATGTGTACATTCAGCCCGGTGATTGTTACAATTCCCTTCAGTTTAAAATAAATCTGTAAATATCTAAACGTGTGATTAATATATGATTACAGAGACGAAAATCCCTTGTATAGCCTTAACAGACTGTTGGGGCAAATGCTGTTGGCGAGCTTCTATGAAGGCTGGCACACGCGGGGTTGGGTGGCCAACACCATGGCCGAATATATGTTTAATATATGTATCAAATATATAGACGCAATAAGGTACCTGCAGGAACAAAACAATAAACTGAGCATTCTGTGCATGGCAAGATGACATCACAATTCTCAGCCATGTTCAGCACACAGCCTTATTGATAGCCCACCAGCTGTTTCAGCCGGAAATATACACACCGCTGAATATACAATGAGGTGCTTGCAGGACCAAAACAAAAACACGAAGCTCTCTGCGTCCTGTGCACGTCGAGAGGACATTTCGCCATTTCTGTGCACGTGTGCACATGCATGACGACAATGATGATGATAGCCACCACCTTGCTCCAGTTGGCTTTTTTACTTGATGGATACCTGCCCCGCAGTCCATCATAGGGCCCGGCGAGAGGAGCCAACGGCTGTAATCACGGGCGGCGCTCTGCGGCTGGGGGGATTTTTCGCGAGCGTTCCGTCCCTCCCCACCACCACCACCACCTTCTCGCGTTCCGCGGTGCGCCTCCCGTTATGAAATGAAAACCCGCGGGTGGTTAGAGAATAATGTGCCATACCTGTTGTCGACTTTCAAAAGCAATGATATTCACTCGCTCGCCGTCCTCGCCGTTCGTTACGAGCGGACGTCCGGAATCCGTGGAACGGCGCCGGCGGGCGAAGAGGCGTCTCGTACGGGCGCCAAAAACGACACGCGTGAAATATGTCGGTCGCTCGAGAGGCAATTGGATCGCAATTAAAATAGGAAACGAAGCAAAGTGGGTCGATCAATGGTGGTTTCATCCCTAACTACGCCACCTCATTACCTAAAGAACAAAAACGCTTTCAGTAACGTTTCAACTTGCCACAGAAGCAAAATGCGAGTCGTAGCCGATTGATGTGTGTGTGGCGCGCGCCGAGAATGCGTTTATTGTGACTGGTGGAATGAGACGATGACTAGTGAGTCCCCGTTATGACGGGGAATTTCTCAGCACTCCACATGCGATGAGCGACTTATTGATGATTGCTGCGTGTATCCCAGTTGAGTAGTTTGCGGGCAATTTTTATTTTTATTTTTTCGAATTTGACTTGTGTGAAGGGGTTTCCCGCCTTTGAGAGGCCAACATTTATGGAGGTTGCCCGAGTAATAAACCACAAAAGCAGTCGTCAACTTTTCTGGCGATTCATCGATTTAATCAACTAAAACCGCTCGCAGTTCTAGAATGTACCGATTACATGTAACGTGGAAAGAGTCAGTCCTGCCTGTATAACTTCAGCAAATGCAGGCACTTGCCCTCCCCCTTCATAGAGCAGTAAGTTACAGTGTGTGTGTATGTGTGCGTGTTTATATATGTACGTGCGTGCTCACAAACGGAGCGACAGAGGGCACAGGAGCGACGCTCACAACAACGAGCGGAGCGCCATGCGGCTGAAATGCAGCAAGTTAGCGCAGTAGGGGAGCACAGGTGGTGCATCTGCCAGTCTTCTCAGTCGTCAACCCACGGCACCTGGGTCTGTTCCGTGACATTCTGCCAGCGAGCCTTGGACACTTCAAAGGCTCTTCAAAGGCTCTCCTCAAAGTGCACCTTGCCTGGCACAAGCACTGTGGTGATGCCACCACCATTTAGTGGCGATTGGCAGCTGTTGTTTTGTTGGACTCACAAACATTAGCTTCTTTGAAAATAAAACATTTCATTTTTAAATAGCCAGTTTTTTTAAGGACACATCACACAATTACTACGTACACCACCCCCCCCACACCCAGCAATCACACATTCGTGGTTTTTTGTTGTTGCTGCAATCGTTGTGCAGAAGGCCGTTCATTCAAAAAACCAACTCCTTGGTGGACATCACCATTGGACCGTCTAAAAATACATCCCGACCATTGCCATCACCGATCACGTTAGCTCCATTTCAGAGGGTTTTTTTTTCTTGTCAAACCCTGTCGGTAGAGGGGGGTGGCATGGGGGGGGGGATCCCTGCCTCATGCACTATTAAAAGGCTGACATACTCCTCGGCAGAAGCACAGCCAGCCAGCCTTTAACACTTCCACCTACTTTGGGAATTTCCTTTCCTCGCCCTGAGGCTCGTGCCAAATTATTTTGCTGTCATTTCAGCCGTACGGGGGGCGGGGAAGGGCAAACAGCAGCGGTGTTTTTCGAGAAACCCCCGTTTGGAGGCGCACGTTGCGCCCACTACGTTTCTCGTCCCCCCGCCCGCCAGCGAAATCGGAGGCGCAAATTATAGAACGGACGCACGGGGAGACCGTCCTGAATTTCGCCGTGAATTTGCCGAGGATTTGCGGTTCTGGGGGTGGGGGGGGGGGTTAACAGTGTTCAGTTGTCCACGAGGGTTCGGATGTCCAGTTGCAACCCTTTGTTAAAATATTTATGAAGCAACCCCCCCCCCCACACACCATGCCTCGCCACAAGGATGCTGGCGGCCACGCCGACATAATGGGAGTGGTGTTTGCTTCGATAAATTCTTGAACCTCATCAAAGAGGGCTTATTGTGACGTTTTTTATGTTAATTAATTTTTTTCAAAAGTAAACATCTGAAGCAAGAGAAAAACAATGTTTAATTCCACATGTCTACATGTACTAGGTGCCATTTACGATGTAACTTCTTTTTTTCAGACAGCTTCACCAGATTTAGGCGGTTCCCATTTGGTACGAAATTGTAAATTCCAGCCCTTTGTCAATCCACTGCTGGATGAAGGCCTTCCCCACCCCGTGGTGGAGATGCATATATTTGTATTTTTTTAATATTTAAGTGAAAAATACTGAATAACTTTTGAATAAAAAATTGTGTGGCCAATGCTGACCAAGCTGAGACCATCAAGCTGGGTTTAATTACCCAAGACTTTAAAACAAATTTAAGCACAGGTGGCTGATGCCAGGGTTCAAAGCCAGGATCTCAGCGACGCTGGCTCAGTGAACTGATCTCTGATCCACCCGGCCACTCTCACAACCAATAGAGTTTGTGGCCAAGATCGGTCAAGTCAAAGACAGACTGTTGGAGCAAGTGTTGTTAGCGAGCACTTATGAAGGCCGGCATAGCAATTGTGGGGGTGAGTGGCCAGCACCACGCTTGGCCGCCTTTGTCTCCCCAGTGCTAATGTTTGCAGACCACACGAGGTACTGATTTGAGGCTGAGTCGATCTAAGGGAGGGCCAGGACCAGTTCAGATAACTGTCACACTGGTGTTGGCTCTGAGCGGGAATCGAACTCTGGCCGCCGGGTTTGTAGCGAAGCACGCTAACTCGCCACACTACCGCTCCCCACACAAGAACACACACACATCGGCATGGTTTCTTTACGAGCAACTCGTGCTACCTGTATTAATATCCTCACTGCTGGAGAGATATTTGCTGTGCAGTATTGTTGTCTGCATGTGATGCTCATGGTCGACAGAGATAGGGGGGTTTAATGTCCTCGCTGTGCCCATCAATCTTGCATGCTGGATGCACAGGGTTAGTGGCTTTGCGAGATCTCGGCAGGAGATGCCGGGGATAGGGTACCCAGTTCGCAGTAATCAATAACGACACTCCAAACACCCAGCACGTACCGTAATTATCCCACTAACTGTGCACCCTCAAATAAGCGTTAAGTGCACGCAGCTTGATTTTAAACACCCGTTGCTCGCTCGTTTGCTTCCGCAAAACTGCATTCCTTCTCGTTACGACGCAGTAACACTTTTATAACTGACAGTTAAACACGATCAAAATTGCATGAACTCTGGGCTGCAGAGCACCAGGGGTTAGGCAGAACGGTTTTCATAGCAGAATTGAAATCTACTCCCACCAGGCTTCCTCTTGACAGTTTAAATCAGTTATCATAACTCTCCGGTGTGTGATCGTGTACCGCATGTTGTCCGGCACGGTGTCCTGCATTTTACTCCGCGTGCTGGGAGCTTGTTCGGGAAGCTCAGCGGTCCCTGCACGTGGAGCGAAAACGTCAGACACCTTATCGAACAAATCCGCAACACAACCCTGACAACGTGTCCGCAACAACCGCACAAACCCTCCACGGCAGTGCCAGTTGCCGTTGTTCCTGCGATATTGTTACAAAGCGAGGCGTCATTCCATGGTACGAATTGATCATCGTAATGCACATCCTACGTGGGTTAAAAACTTAAAAACACTCCGGCTCATAATGACCATGATGCAGAACTCTGCGATTCTCTCCCAGTGGGAAATAATCCTTTGATGCAGATGGGGAAAAGTGATTACAACTTAATTGGAAGGAATTAGGCAGCCGCTAAATTGTTTATTAAGGCGCGTGTAAAACTCTTGTTGTGGCGCTGTCCCCACAGTGCAGTCATCGCGCCTACCGGCGGCCACGGGTGCTGCCGATTCCGTCAAAAGTGCCGTGCGCCAAAAAGCCAAGGAATCGTTGCATTTATCCGGTGAAAACTCCAGAAGTTCAGATAGCCACACAAAGGCAATGAACACGGTTGGCTGCGTACGGTGCGAAAGAAGTTCGGCGTGCAAGCATGCGCGCGTACGAGTCACCGTTACCCACAAAAAGGTGAAAGCGACGCGGAAGACAAATTGACAGCCGCCGCAAAAAACCTAGGGGCTGCGTAAAGGGACACGTGCACAGAGGTGGTAACGGGCGCTTAAAAAATAACATCTCTCGAGAAAACGGCAGTCGATGGGGAGTGCATAGTGCACTGTGCCATAAGGAAATTCAACCACATTCAGCTTGGATAACTATACTAGGCTTGAAAAAATAAGAATAGGTTTTACCCTTTCTGGCAATAAAACAGCAGGTGTTAAGGTGTTCAAACACCAAATATAAACCTTTTGCAAGGATTCAAGTAACTACATTAAGCACACACGGTACTCGTGGTGAACATGCAAACAAACATGCTCTGACAATATATGGCATTGTGTTTGAAGCTGATTGGCCTACACCAGAGACAGCCTTCTTTCGGGCCTTGTCTCAGCAGTGTGAGACCAGCGAACGCCAGAAAGGGTGAAACCTATTCTTATATTTTCATACTTTTATACTGGCAAAAGAGGTCCCATTTTGTTATACTAAGCTTCCTTGGGTTGTCGGGGAAACTCCCATCCCGTGGGCACCGAGGTGCGATGCCCCTGGCTCACCAGCAGAATGCAGTCCAGCAAAGTGTGGACCTATATCGTTCGTCCCTTCTGCGTGGGATAAAGTGTTACCCCCCCCCCCCTCCCTCGCAACGTGTGGGTTTTATTCTGGGTGCTTCGGTTTCTTCTCGATTGTATAAACACTTGCTCATTCGTTGACATTTTTTATGGGGATGGCATCGACGGGGGGGTCGGGGGGGCAGACGCATCTCATTGTTGCCGCGCGGCACTCCCGTTTGGTTGCTCTCTGTCGTGCGGAGTAAAGCGCCGCCCCCTCTCTGTGATCCCACAAACGCCGGGCCCCGTACTTTGCGGAATACCGCACCTTGCTCAGGACGAGCGCACGCGTGCCGTTTGTCAGCGGCGCGAGGGAGCGCGATGCGCGACTCGACAGCTCGCTAAACCTGAACCCTGACCCCGCAAGGCATGCTGCTCAAGGCTACCTGCCCATTGGCGTATCGGCCGTCGCCGCTGACCCAGCCGCTGCGGCACAGTTGCGGTTGGCAGCCCTTGCTGGTGTGGCCTCCGTGTTCGATTACGCCGGGGATCTGGGTTCGGGATCTGTGTGCGAGGCGCACGCTCGTTAATCCCTGAAACTTGCATCCATTGAGGAACTCGGATCGGTACTTTGGCCGCACAGCCCATCGGGGTTTTGAGATGCTCGGTTATTTTTGAGCCTAATGAGGTGTTCATAATTGATTGCTTTAAATGCGTACGCTTTTTTTTCCTATCTTGGAACCCTTTGCTGCTACCAGTCGGTGATAAATTATTTCTCGCCCCGCTGCTATTTTTGGAATGAAATTCTGCCACTATT